ACAATTTAATGTGCTATTTTTGTGTTTGTTATCAGCGGAAAGACAAATGTAGTTACTATACTGTATCATCCTTTAAAGCTAATAACTAAAATAATAAAAATGTTTGCTCTTTTACATGAACGTTAGTTGTTGCCTACAACCGTTCCTTATAGCAACAGATAGAAAATATTTTTGACGTCCTTTATTTTGTTTATGTCGGACCTTATTTCCATGCAATTAACATTTAAATGCCTGAATAATGTTTTTTATAAAAGATAAAGATTAAAGATTTTGACATAATACGTTGATTACTGACTATAAAACTACACAGAAAGTAGATAACAAATATGTTTTAAGATATTTTTACATAAAAAATTTAAATATTTGAAAAAAAAAACAAGTATTCATTAACATATAGACATCAAACTGAATCATGATTTATATTATTATCAAGCACTATCAAAAACATTAAACACAAAAATTATGTGATTTTTATATTCATTCATTCAACAAACATTAAAACAATAAGACTTCATTCGTCATATTATATAAAAAACAAATCATAAAAATAAATATATGAAATAACTAAACACATATAGTACATAGTGAAGGCTCAGATATCTCACTATGGGTATCAATTGCCGTGACACTTGTGTTGACACATATTGATGTCTCTGTTATTTTCAAACAGAATGTAAAGGACAACAAGTGTCAATGCCGCAGAAACTCACAGTTAGATTAGTATGTTGCCTTCAGTAAAATTCCATTGCTTTACAAACATCAAAACAAACAATTACGACCAAATTAATATTTGGAAATGCCCAATAAAAATAAATATCAATTAATTGGTTTTTAATGCATTATAAAATGAAAAGCAAATGAACACAAATATATTGTTAATTAAAGCATAAATAAATTATAATAGGCGAATAAGATAAAATGTTACTTACTGTACAGCAATATCAGGGATCTGATATGGCCCATGAAAGCCAGTGGTGGAGGCTTTCATGAAGCGGCACACGGGCGTGCAGTGCTCTGTGAGTGTATTAGTCTTGTTAATAGCACTAAAATACATTATGTTAAATTAACCTTTAAAAAGCTCATGAACCGGCGCCAAAGATAATGTGATATCACCATGTCCTCGACCATGAAATGCTATAAATAAATTTATATAAATCACACAAATCAGACCCTATAATATATTTATAAACTTTAGGTAGGTTGTAAATTCTGTATGTATGTCCATATAAAACATACTGGTTGGAATCTGCTTAGAATTCTTTTAATTCTCATCTATTCTATAATTAGTTTTAATATGATTATTCTATGATTTTTTATGAAATATATTGTTATATATTTAAAAAGCAAAAACCAATGATAAATTACCCAATGGCATTTATGAACAGATAATAAGATATATTAAACCTAACACCTTGTTAGAACACATAATTATGAAACATACAACTCACCTGTAAGACCTCTATATCCAAATATGCCGCAGTCGTGCATGCGCATAGAAAGTTGTTCATCCTTTATGAATTTCTCAGTGCTTATGCCTTTTAACTGTAATTAACGAAATGAATATGCATCAAAATACACCGACAGAAAAAATAATATTCCACACTGTAATTGGTCAAGATGTCTGCCATTCTAAATGAGGGTTTTGACTATGACTTGTAATTGACACATATTGTTATCCCTCACATTCTCTTATGTTAAAATAAAGAAAACTTAAGTCATGGCTTTAGAAACCCACACTAAGTTTGATTGCATACCAATTGAGTCTTGTATCAATATCTTAAGTAACTTTCATGTAATTGATAAATAAGAACACCATGTTTTTTTGTACTTGAAATGATTACCCTAGTATTAAAAATTAATGGTTATATTACCTTAGAAGGTACTAGAAAGCGATCTGGTATCCTCTGTAACTTTTGTTGCTTTTCACTGGGGCCAAAGCCAAGTGCCAAAAGCACTGACTCAGCATCTACTTTTCTGGCCCCAAGCACATTGAGCACTGAACTGCTGCTTGATCCACTTGCGTCTGACTACAATACAAATTGAATATTACGTATATTCAGATGTCATTACCACTAAGGTTTTAATGATAAAGACAGATTTTTCTGACAGTTTCATCCAATGCACTGTTTGTTTACACATACATTGTTTGTTCTATGGTTTATAGTTTTGTATATTATACCTCCCAATTTTTAGTATGTTAAATCAAACTAAAGTCCGCATTCTCTTATCTCTGTGATAAAACTAAGTTACCAAAATACCCATGGATACTCATAGTAATAAAACAATGTTACATTTTACATAACTTCAATAAAACATTTGAAAATGGGTCTTAGATATAAAAATGTATCAATTTACCAAATATATTTCTTAATAAACTCTACACTGTACATAAACACAATAAAGTCATTTATTTCTAAAATCAGTTTTATGGAAACAAACTTACCTGTAAAGAGTGATCTCTGAGCAATGGATTCTTAAATCTAGGTGCGCATCCTTCTGATTGAACTGAGTGATCACGCTGTAGTTTCTTCTTAACACATCTATTGTTTGGTGTACTCGTAAGCATGCCACTCTCCAAAGATTTCCTTTTCCATATTTCTCTTTGTGTTGGAATATCTAAGTTTTTATCATCTTTTAGTTCTACATTACTTGCTTCCACCACTGTGTTGTCAGTCACAGAATCTTCTGCTTTATTATCATCAGAGTGTGAGTTTTCTGCTTGGTCTTCACCTGGTTTCTCATCACCTTCAGTGTCTGCGGGCAGTGAATCTAGCCATTGTTGTACTGGACTGCTGCGCCTCATATCTTCAATAACTCCACTGAGCCAACCACGGACTTTCCGTTCTATTATGGATGAAACTGTCTCATTAAAAGTATCTGTAAATAATAAAAGTCTTTGAATGTACTGATTAATTTGTTTTTTGTTTATACTTCATTGCCCAAAATTTTACTAAATACTTAAGGTGAGGTAGTATATAAAATGATATATAAAAGATACAAAAAATCAAGCATAAGCACTTTTTAACTACTGATTTATAATTTTTCATAATTAATAAAAATATAATTATAATGGTACTGTTAAGCTTTCTTCCAAATTTTTCCAATTTAGATTTGAAGTCTTTGAGGGACTATTATCGATATAACTCGACAAGGGAATGTATAACAATCAGTAGTAATATTTACATTATAAAGGATTCGACATTCTGATTCTATAAATGTTTGCTAAAACAAACCTTGTTTAGGTTCCATCCCTTGTAATACGAGGCTGCATGCAAGAGAGGAAAGGTAAAACATTCATAGGTTTCAATAACACAGGTCACTTACGCTTATTTTAAATTTTGAAATTTTTATCTCCACTTACCTCTCGTCTACGCGTACGCGTTTTACTATTTGTTTCAAAAGAGATATCACTACGCTTTTCAACGCTGATGCACAACACATACACTACACAGCAGAACAGAAGCATAGAATAAATTGCAGTTATTTGTACTTTTTATAGATTACCAGTTGCTTACTGACATTGACATTTGACAGTTACGCCTGTTTTGTCAATGTCAGTTGAATTGACATTTCGGACTGACAGGTATAAATGTTGCAAGCTACAAACAGTTTTTTTATAACACAAAAAAAGGTAAAAACAAATTCTATAGACAGACTATTTTAATATGTCACGATTGACACTTAATCAAAATCCAACAACGTATAACCTTGTTACGGCGGGCATAAACAGATTTTTAACTTTTATTTTTTAAGTTAAGAACTTCAAAATTGCTTATCCTTGTCACATTTTTTTCTTTAAACATAAGTGCATCGATTCAGTTGTTATGAAAGAAACACGTTTATTATTCGATTTTTGCTAACAACCTTATTTTAACTACAAATAAACAAATAATATTTGATGTCAACCTTTATAAAGTAACGTAAAAAAGGAAATTGGATACAACCTTTCTTCTTAGGTTTTTGGTAATGTTTTGTTATATAATTATTGGTGGGCCATTTTAATGAGTCATATCACACTTCATTAAAATCCAACAACGTAACCTTATACGGACATAAAATATTATTGATTTATTTGAAGTTACACTAAGAATGTTTCCATTGATATGAACTTACTCTAGACTAGACTTTTTCTTGGTCAGGGTCATGGACTAGTTTTACTTCTTCTTCTCCAAACATAAGTAAGAGTAAATCTTATTTAAATGACCTATACTTTATAAAAGTGAAAGTGATCAAAAATGTTTTTAATTAATTTTCCACCCGATAGCAGCGCTACACAAATTTCATAAAATTCGGTTAAATGAAAGCGGCAAAACCCGAATACCAGCGATCTTCTCACTGCATGGCAACCAATGGCTTGCTTGGAAATGTCATATTTTTTGGCTTGTAGTTATGTATATCTATAAGTTTCTTGTGGGTTGCATTGCGTATTGCAATGAGAAACGTAGGTATATACGTAGATATAGTATGAATAGAGTAGTAATGTAATGAAAATATTCAAATAAAACATTTTTTTATAAATAAAGAATATTTATTTTTCTATAAACACATTATCTTTTTTATATTATCATTAATGTTTTCTTCTTATAAATCGCAAAACGCATTGGGCTTTCGTCAACGAAGTCATGTGCGTGGATGGAGAAGAGTTCAGCGGGGCACGCGGCGCCGCACCGAGGCCGAGCACTCAACGCGCACTGCGGCGCCTCCACTAAACAATTTGTGCATCGAGGTTTGGTAGAGATTACTTTAATCGCTAAATCACATTTGGACACTAATATACATGTATAACTACAGTCGACGAGTGTCAATTTTGAGCAGTGGAAGGGTTGCCGCGGGCGGGAATTGCGCGCGGCGCGCAGCCGGCGTCACGCGGGCCCGTACACGCATTCGCCACGACGCACACCTGCCGCCTGCTCGCCCGGTAGAACGGCGGCACGCCGCCACTCGTCGCGCACGCGCTCCACGTGTCGCAGCACGCGCACTACGTTGAGACCCGCCACTTTGCGCACGTCCTCTTCGCTCCAGTCGGGGTCGCGCAGCAGCTCGGCCAGTAGGTGTGGGTAGCGCGACACGTCTTCCAGCCCCTCGGGCGGCGCGTCGATGCCGTCGTAGCCCGCACCTAGGCCCACGTGTTCCACGCCCGCCACTTTCCGCACGTGATTGATATGAGCCACTACGTCCTCAACCGTCGCCCGCTCGCCACACGTTACTAATTTCGCATAAAAATTTATCATCACCACGCCACCGTTGGCAGCGATCTTCCGCAGGAGTTCGTCCGGAACATTTCTCGTCGAATTGCAGATCGCAGCGGCACCGGAGTGTGAAAAGACCACTGGTGCGCGAGACGTTTCTATGGCGTCCAGCGCCGTTTCCTCGCCGGCGTGCGAAAGGTCTACGATCATGCCAAGGCGATTCATTTCCCGAACGACGGCGCGACCGAACTCTGTGAGTCCACCCGGGGTGCCAGCGGCGCGCGCCCATCTATTATCACACGTGTGCGTCACTGTCAAGTATCGAGCGCCTAGGTGGTAAAACGCCCGTAAAACGGCGAGCGAGTCACCCAGAGCGTGTCCTCCTTCGACGCCAATTAAAGATGCAATTCTGCCCTCTCTATGAGCATCTAATAACTCGGAAGCGTCGGTGACTAACGCGAGGTGTGCCGCGTTCATTTCCACTATCCGCTTGATAACATCCATCTGTTCGAGTGCGAGTTGGACGGCGTCGCGGTCTTTGGCGCCGCAAGGCACGTACGCCGACCAAAACTGGGCACCGACCTGGCCGAGCCTGAGCCGCGGAATATCCGTGTGCGACCAGCGCGAGCGCGCCCACGGCTCTAGGCCCTCGAGGCCGGCGGAGAGGTTGAAGTCGTTTATTTTATTATGAAGGAATTTTCTAACATTCCATGCCAAGTCATTATGTCCATCTATAAGGGGCGAGTCTCGTAGCATGCGGCGTATGGTGACGAGGCGTTGTTCCGGAGTGGCGCGGCCGCCGCCGCCCAGGGCCAGTGGCAAGCCCAACGCTGCGCCGAGCGCCGCCAGAACGACAAGCGCGGCGAGCGCGATACGCCAGCGTGGCCGCCGCGGCGTAGGCTTCTCGTCGGAGCTGCCCGAAGCGGAGGCCGACAGGGAATCGGGCGCCCAGCGGCCGCACCGCTCAGCCACATCCGGCAGTGACCCAGGAAATGTCATTCCCTCTGGAACTGCCGCCTTAAACAAAAAAGAAGATATAATTATTATTTTTTAATTTAGTGTAAAGAAACTGGTAAGTAGCACTTCCGTCTTAGGAGTACCTAGACTTATAGGAAAGAAGGCCACGGGGGCCGAAGGCTCGTATGCTAGACGCAGCCTTATTATCTCAGCATTCTTAAACATGTAATAGAGATCGCTTGGAAAATTTTGCAAAATATTTCCAAAAAGTGCAAAAAATAAAAATATTACCAATTAAATTGTAATTTTAAGAACTACACAAAGTAACAATGGCCCTTTTCAAAATAAAAAGCATGAAAGGAAAGCTGGACTCAAATAAGAATATTGGTCCCCGATCATTAGCTAGTCGTATTTTTTCTGTATAAAATTGAAACATGAAAAGGCTTACACTTTTTAATTAGCCCCTTCTTTATCACTGTTCCTCTGTTTCAAATGAAGCGGAAAAAAATAAAGAAACCAATGCGCTCTAGATGAAAGTCGGACGCTCGCTTGTAGTAAATAGTACATGGGTCAAGCAATTATTGTTCTTGGGTCACGGACATTATATGCCTGTTTTTGACTGTATCAGAAATGAAGCTTTTAATGTTATCTTCCCTTTGTAATGGAGATTCCATAAAACTATATTATTAGTAAGAAAATTTTTATAACACTAGAAAATCGGTAACTGGTAACTTTTGCATGAATAAAGAAAAATGTAAAAATCTTCCGTGGGGTCCTAGCGCTTTAAGACTTTTTAAGGACATTTCCAAAAAATTAATCGACATCACAGGGGACCGAAGAGCTGGCAGCTACCTCGGTCAAAGAATTAGTTTAGCTGTACAGAGGGGGAACGCTGCCAGTATCTTCGGGACCTTGCCTAAAGGGACTCCTTTTATTAACATATTTTAGTTAATTATTCGGTTTTTTTTTTTAATTTTATTTTATATCATAGATTCAAGAGTTTATGTATTCATAGAAATAAGGATGTAAATAACTATTTTAATATTTCTTTAAAATAAATTAAAGAAATTTATTGTAAAAGAGTAAACGATTAGTATAAAATCTTAAATGTTTTTATATCTTCAGACAAAATTTCAAATGTAATGTAGGTTTAATTATAATTATTATCTTAACTGTATCCAATTTTATGAGCCAATGTCTTATTATGTTTTATTTTCTGTGTTTGATCGGTATATTATTTACGCGGTTTCGTATTTTTCGCTAACTAATTGTAGTTTAATCGATATATTTCATCTCTTTGAACAAGTGGGTACTTAGAAAATGCTGGTTCGGACGACGCGCAGGACTTGTGCGAAGAGGGCAGTTCGCAATCGCCAACCAGCGGCGAAACCGTACGGTAGTTTAAATTTGCGTATAAAGTCGCTCCTAATTATCGGTTCAAAATTCGGATATTTAACAACGTCACGAAGAGCAAATAAAACCTGACCTGAATGACTTCCTGATTCCACTGACACCTGAAAGATGGAAGTGATGAATCTAGGCGGTGAGTAATCTTCATGATTATTTTGTTATATCGTAGGTACTTTAAGGGAGCTTGAGCCCCGGTATCGTAAATAAAAAATCATTCAAAAATAGTAATTATAGAATTACAATAAGAAAGACTATGGTATAACACTTTTACATCTATGATAGATACTTCGTTTTGCATTAATTTCCTTTCTCAAGCCTGATTGTTTTGTGATTATTAGTTTAAATGGATAAACGTTGTGTAAGTACGAAACTTTGCAAACAATGCGGTTGCGCGCGTGTACATTATAATTTATTATTCCGCCTGCTTTAATCCTGGCTTGGTTCCTGATTAAATAAATAATCTCTCAGACGTGGCGCTTACATACAGATGGATTTAAATAACTCCTTCTTGTCTAAGGCAAAATGATAACATCTAAAACGTATCTATACGAAACCAGACAAATAAGTGTTTAGCAGTTAATGCATTAGTTTATAATAATTTCTCAAGAAAGAAAAATAATTTAATGTCATTTCATTTTCTTTTAAAAGTAAGTACAGAGAGCTATCTTCTTTTCTTCTAGTGCCATTTCCTAACGAACTTTGGACTATATTATGTTATATAAATGTTAAAATAAAAATAAACCTTTTGTAGCCAATGTACTTATCTACTATCTTTATTGTAATAGAGGTTTCGACAATGACAACGGTGTTTTACATCATTTTCACGTTTAAATACTAAAGTTTCGCAGAAGATAGACTTATCCATATAGCAATATAAACAGAGTTATAGCTTCTTTGTAAAAAAGGACATTTAATAATTCAATCTCTTGGATATTTAAACGTAATAAAAGATAT